CCATTGGTGGAAAAATGTACCATGTCGACCAATCAAAAAATGATATGGCAACAGTTGTTTAGGAAGGGGGAAGTTTTAGGAGTGACGGCGGTGTTTTGAGATGTGAGAGATTTGCGACGTTTAGCGCAAATCTTGTGTAGTTAGTGTGTAGTGTAGTCAATAGTTTTGTTGTGTGTGTCAGAACAATGAGGCGACTGCTGAATGTTACAGGTGTTACAGGAGTGATACATCTCCTGTTGTCAGGCCTGCAGGAATCAGGCTCCTTTATCTCATAGTGGACAGAAATTATGTTTTGGAGTGGCACAAATAATTTGTGTGGCATCAAATTTGATGCAGAACAGCTGATTGTTCTGTAAATAGCTTGAAATGTTTATTTAAAAAAACGCCTTGGCTGCATTTTTAGGTAAACAGCAGCAAAAAATGTTGTTGTTTGCATAACTCAGTTACTTTTTTGAAGAAGTAACTATATAATTAATTGCCCAACATTGGTCATTATATACTGTATTTTGCAGACAGAGGGTTACAGGACTCTCTCCCAGACCACAGACTCAGACTCATAATACAAGTCAGAGCTTTATAAAAAATTTTTTTTAGAAAGTTGTGTTTTCAAAATTGGAGTTCAAGTTATTTTTACTTCCAATAGTTTTAACATACTACACAGATCATGAACAAGATTTCTTTTTAAATAATTTCATTGTAAGTGGGCTAAAGCAGTTAATTAAAAATAGTCTAACATAAATGCTGTAATTTGATTATTTTAATAAACGATGTAACTTGGATGGATTAGATGCCGGCGCGACCACAGTGCACACGTCTGATGTCGCTCACAGTGGTCCAAGGGACCGCTCAGGGAGTTTGTGCGTTTGCTTAGACACATGAAAAATTAGAGGGAACATTGCTACTGACTAAACACTGCCTGCTATCATGACCTGTTACGTGTAATCAATGTGTGCAAAGCTCCTCTGTTCTAGAAAAAAAAAAATAGATTTAAGATTTTTTTTGCGATTACATTTAAAGCTTGCTCACAGCAGTCAACATGGCATTGAAATAGTATTATATATTTTCTCCTCTGTGGCTTCTGAAGTGAAGCTGATATAAGAACGGATACAGTGTATGTTTAGATGATGAAATGAAATAATCACTGAGGACTGCTGAAACGATGACGATGCCTGTGATGCAGAAGCCAGTAAGGAACCTCAGGACCATGAACATCACGTAGGAAGTAGAAAAGGCGCTTGCAACAGCAAACACCATCCCAGACACGTATGATACCAGCAGCATGATCCTTCTGCCATACCTATGGAAAAATCAGAAAGTCTCAATCTTTGTTTTGTTTTTTTCAGTAGCTGGAACACTGGAAATCGCTGATACCTGTCGCTCAGGCTGCCAAAGGCCATCGCTCCAAACATGACTCCAACAAAGAAGATGGTAGCAGTTGCTTTGTTTTTCCCTCTTCTATCACACACCAAGTCCCACTTGTACAAAGAAAAAAAAGATGCTATTCTACATTTGGTTGTGGGATTATTTAATAATTAGGAACAAATACATTTTAATTTATTTCACAATAGAAAAAAAAGTACAAAAGAATCACCTCTGAGGTCAGAGTAGACTTGAAAGTAGTGTTATCGTACACCCATCCATTCTGGCACGGCACTTTACGCGCATCAGTGATGTGGGAAGTGTTAAATAGCAGATGATATTGAGGCTCCTGGAACATCTGACAGGAGCTTGGAGTCCCATCCTGCTGAACTGGAATAGTAACAAGAAGCCTCTCTGTCTGGGATAAATTCATAAAAATACCCACATCATCCAGAGAGCTGATGTCACAGTGATGAGAGGGAACAGCTGCAATGAAATTGTTGAGCATGAAGTGGCAAGGCAGAGTGAAGCGGCCGATGAAACTGATCACAATGATCATTATCTGAAATCTTCCAAATCCGTTAATATCAGCAAGAACATTCTCAAACTTCATTGTGGCCTCCTGCTGTAAACGAAATGTCTTCCTTTAAGGTTAAAAAGAAAAGGAAAGTCCTCAGTTGCTTGTAGCCTATATCCAAAACTAGCAAATCTTTGTTTGATTTGCTTCTGGACTATCTGTAATAAGTCAGTGTTTTACCTGTCTTAACAAGTTAACTAATGTTTATCTATGTGACTGTAAATAGAAGCTCGCTCTAGTCTACTGCAGGCTCTCCATTGTTGACACAGCGGAATGACTCATCATAATAAAGAAACTGCGATTCAGTGGAAATGTATGGGCAAACATGGGAAAAAGACAATTTGCATTTAGTGGTTTTTGACCACTTTTTATTTATTTCCTTTAAATAATATAACAAAATAGCAAAAGTAGCAATGAAAAAAAAGGCTATTGCTGTTACAAAAATGTGAGACAGGGTTCAAAGTCCTGTTACAGCAGGACATGAGCAAAAACAATAGGAATAAATGAAAAAAGCTGATGGAAAGCATTTTAAAGACATCAAGCTCTATTACATCATTTTATCTTTTTTTTAATAGCATCTCTGTTTCTTATTTTGTAAGGGACCAGCAGCAGTTAGGACTGATCAGTGCGCTAAGACTAAAGTTCTATGAGGTAATACTGTGATCTGTTGAAGGCACGCCAAATAATAGCATATATACCGGTATATTTTTAAACCAAAATGTCACCTAATAAATTACTAACTACACCGTATGGTATGACCGGCTCTTGCTGGCAACATCTGAAACTTTTAAGGTGATTTGAAGTAAATTCAAACTGTAGCAAAATGTGGCAAATGTGGGCCACATACAGGAGCTGCTGCAGTTTTTGTGCTGATGATAATGCCAGTGGAGGTTTGGAGCTCTGCAGCTGCTGAGTCAACCACAGAGTGCAGGTGATTTTTATGCCAACTTGGTGACCCTGCTCTGTACCTTTACATGGTCTGCCACTTTATGGCTGTGAGTTGCTGCAGTTCGTAAACGCTTCCACTTTACAATAATGCCGCTTACAGCTGATCATGGAAAATCTAGGAGGAAAGACCAAGGTCATCTTTTTAAAAACAGGCCACATGGCTAGGTTCTTGATTTTACACACCTGTGGCAACTGGTGAAAACATCTGAATTCAAAGATTATGAGTTGTGGCAAAAGACACACTTTTGTCCATATATTGAGGAATGAGGAAATTTTAAATCTTGTGTGTTTTTATTATTTAGTGCTGTAGGACTGATGTGTTTGTCTTATATGCAGATCTTTAAGGTCAAAGGGCAGTTTGTCAGAGCAATAGAAATGTGGTTATTCCTATTGTATTTTAAACCACAGGATTCATGGCAGCTATCATGTACAGGGAGTGCAGAATTATTAGGCAAATGAGTATTTTGTCCACATCATCCTCTTCATGCATGTTGTCTTACTCCAAGCTTTATAGGCTCGAAAGCCTACTACCAATTAAGCATATTACCGTAGGTGATGTGCATCTCTGTAATGAGAAGGGGTGTGGTCTAATGACATCAACACTCTATATCTGGTGTGCATAATTATTAGTCAACGTCCTTTCCTTTGGCAAAATGGGTCAAAAGAAGGACTTGACAGGCTCAGAAAAGCCAAAAATAGTGAGATATCTTGCAGAGGGATGCAGCAGCCTCAAAATTGCAAAGCTTCTGAAGCGTGATCATCGAACAATCAAGCATTTCATTCAAAATAGTCAACAGGGTCGCAAGAAGCGTGTGGAAAAACCAAGGCGCAAAATAACTGCCCATGAACTGAGAAAAGTCAAGCGTGCAGCTGCCAAGATGCCACTTGCCACCAGTTTGGCCATATTTCAGAGCTGCAACATCACTGGAGTGCCCAAAAGCACAAGGTGTGCAATACTCAGAGACATGGCCAAGGTAAGAAAGGCTGAAAGACGACCACCACTGAACAAGACACACAAGCTGAAACGTCAAAACTGGGCCAAGAAATATCTCAAGACTGGTTATTTTAAGGTTTTATGGACTGATGAAATGAGAGTGAGTCTTGATGGGCCAGATGGATGGGCCCGTGGCTGGATTGGTAAAGGGCAGAGAGCTCCAGTCCGACTCAGACACCAGCAAGGTGGAGGTGGAGTACTGGTTTGGGCTGGTATCATCAAAGATGAGCTTGTGGGGCCTTTTCGGGTTGAGGATGGAGTCAAGCTCAACTCCCAGTCCTACTGCCAGTTTCTGGAAGACACCTTCTTCAAGCAGTGGTACAGGAAGAAGTCTGCATCCTTCAAGAAAAACATGATTTTCATGCAGGACAATGCTCCATCACACGCGTCCAAGTACTCCACAGCGTGGCTGGCAAGAAAGGGTATAAAAGAAGAAAAACTAATGACATGGCCACCTTGTTCACCTGATCTGAACCCCATTGAGAACCTGTGGTCCATCATCAAATGTGAGATTTACAAGGAGGGAAAACAGTACACCTCTCTGAACAGTGTCTGGGAGGCTGTGGTTGCTGCTGCACGCAATGTTGATGGTGAACAGATCAAAACACTGACAGAATCCATGGGTGGCAGGCTTTTGAGTGTCCTTGCAAAGAAAGGTGGCTATATTGGTCGCTGATTTGTTTTTGTATGTCAGAAATGTATATTTGTGAATGTGGAGATGTTATATTGGCTTCACTGGTAAAAATAAATAATTGAAATGGGTATATATTTGTTTTTTGTTAAGTTGCCTAATATTTATGCACAGTAATAGTCACCTGCACACACAGATATCCCCCTAAAATAGCTAAAACTAAAAACAAACTAAAAACTACTTCCAAAAACATTCAGCTTAGATATTAATGAGTTTTTTGGGTTCATTGAGAACATGGTTGTTGTTCAATAATAAAATTATTCCTCAAAAATACAACTTGCCTAATAATTCTGCACTCCCTGTATCAGTTTGTCTCTGTTTACAGCAAGTTACCACAGTCGCTCTTGCACTTATAGATAGAATTTAATTTATAATAACTGTGGATCTCCTCATTTATCGAGCATAAAATCAACACCTCAAACACAAATATGTCATACAGTATTTGAAATTGGGTTTCAAGATTTATTTAGATTTATTTTTACTAAAGAACACAGACGTATGACTCACAAGACAATCAGATTTAGAGCAAAAAATATATAACTGAATCTAACAAACCGTGCTTCTTCATTAGCTCAAGTTTCCTAACATACTCAATCTAATGAAAGGACTGAGGTATTTGTGTTTTTTATAAATTTATAGCTACACAGCGGTATGTACTTAGATCACACATGTGAAAGGCACTGCATTTGTACCCTCTGCAACAACAAATAAGAATTCTACTACAGCTAAATTTGGATATTTCTCCCACGAGGAGGTAAAATGACTTCATATTCAACATGGATTGAACATGTGTAAAAGACACTGTTTTACATATGTTTAAACTGTTTGCTCCCATCAAGTTGCTGTGGTGATTTAGTGTAGTCCTATGGGGATTTTGATTGCACTGACAAAAACGCACAGGCAGGAGATTTCTCATCAGAGGCGGAGACTGATCGTCTTCTGAAATACAAAAGACATTTTCATTTTAAAATGTACATAATTTTATATACATTTTACAATGTTTATAATGTCTCATGTTTGGATGATTTTTCTACATTAAAGCGCAGTACGTTGTCTGTTCCACGTCCTCAATAGTCTCCGGCAAACGCACATTGTACGTCTCAGGGAGCAAAGAAGCTGACAGTCCGGAGCCTAAAGCCACCAGGGAAAAAACAAAACTTGGCAGATTCACCCACACGTCTTCAAGGAGCATGATCAAGGGGGATACAGCCACACCTACACGGGCCATAAAGGAACAGTATCCCAATCCATTTTGCCTGAATTACAAAAAGAAGAAAAAATAAAACAAATGTTGTGCTCTGATTATCAGGCAGCAAAATAAAAGACAATGTGCATTTTACTGACCTCATTACTGTGGGATAAAGCTCCGTTGTGTACAGAAAAACGATTGTAAAAGAGCCCTCTGAAAACATCTTGCCCAAAGCTCCCACAGCTGTCCGAAGATCCCCCCTATCTGAAAAGAAAACACTATAATTCACCTTGTGTTCTAGTTAAGACTTTTCACTGAATTTATTAGAAGATTAAATACTACAAACGCATAAGGACATTTAATTTAGCTCATACAGATAATGGGGTCATCCCATATTCAACTAATTATAATGAGCTAAAAGTTCAACCTTCAGACTAAACACTGAACATCTTAGATGTTTTGTTTCTAATTTATTATGTCAGATATGGGGGTAATTACTAATTCAACAATCTACTGTTTAAAGAAAACCGTTTCACGGGAAGAACTACATTGAAGAGGAGCTAACATGGTTTACTTCAGACACTGGATGAACTGGGCTGCGCCAAGACTAGAACAATGAATTTTTATGAACTAGCAGCTTGAATCATGCAAAACTACTCCAGAACAAGAGTGAATTATGTGTAGTCTTTGTCAGTCTGGTCAAAGAATCATGGCTTGGTGCATGTGACAAATAATATAATACTAGAAAGTAAGCTAATAAACTAAAATGAATACATCTACACATTTGAATGGATCATATACCTGCATGGATAAACACACTGCTGAATATAAGCAGCCCAGTCAAAATGAGCATCCCGGCTTGATTCCACCTTCGACCTATTTTGTCTACGGTGAAAAAGACGAATCCTTTGGCTGGAATCTCTATGACACCATAGATGAACTGTGTGAGATAAATGTTCACACCAAATCCGCTGATATTCAAGCTGATCCCGTAATAAGCGAAGGCCACTCCAAACCTGCGAGCAAGACCAGACTTTTGTCATTTTAAAGTTAAACAGTTGCCCCAAAGAACAGTAGTTTCTCATTAGCTACCTGGTATCTGACATGGATAATAGTAAAACCATTGTTATCGAAACAGTGTTAGAGTTCAGCAAACATGATGTTGAATAACCTGTTCTTGGCAGTTTAATCTAGTCTAGTCTAGTTAAAAATTTGTTTAGACATGAGATTTGGGCCAATGTTTTCGACGCAATTTTGCTGTTGACCTTTTGAAGGTTGCCTGGATGTCCTTGTTAGACTTTCCAGCAAAAGGTGGAGTAGGTAAGGAGGAGTGGGGGCACAGTGCTTCTGCCACTGAGCTAACCAACTAGGCTGAGGTTTAATAACTTCAAGAGCTGAATTGCTCAAAAACGAAGACTCCAGAAATAATTTAGATGTAGTGTTGTCTTTGGAATATATGTTCTCAATGTAGCTGTAAATTTCCTTAATACAAAATTATGGTGGTGATATTTTTTACTTTTTCTAAATGCACCTCAGAGAAGAAGAAAACAACATCAACATCTGGCTTTCTACAGTTCCGTTTTTGCCATCATAACGGCCAGTGGTTTTAACCTGGGGGATAATGCCACCATTTCAGCCAAGTTTACTGGTTGTAGCTAAGAGACACTGGTAAATATTTGTATAGCGCTTTACACTATACACGGTCATCCACCCATTCACACACACATTCACACACTGGTGATGGCAAGCTACAGTGTAGCCACAGCCACCCTGGGGCGCACTGACAGAGACGAGGCTGCCGGACACTGGCGCCACCGGGCCCGCTGACCACCACCAGAAGGCAACGGGTGAAGTGGCTTGCCCAAGGACACAGCGACCGAGACTGTCAGAGCCAGGGGCTCGAACCGGCAACCTTCCGATTACAAGACGAATGCCCAACTCTTGAGCCACGATCGCCCACATCGTGGGCAAGTGGGCCTTAACAATGCAAGGCCCTAACTGGGCATTGTTTTAATTTTTGGACTGAATAAACATACTGGTGCATCCCTATCATGGATATAGACAGCTGTCTCCAAATTTTAAAGGTGGATCTTCTAAGGTTGAAGATCAAATATGCATTTCTCGGTTATTAATAATTATTCAATGAACCTCCCAATCACGGACATGGACACCTTTGTCCACAGTTTTAACCATTAAATATGTACTAATGAGCAAATAGTTTATATACTTATGTATAATGTTTTAAATGTTCAAGATAAATACCACACAATGCCACTAAGTAGAGCGCGCCTTCTCATTTTGGGTGTCTTCACGAGGTCCAAATAGGAATACTTTCTGTTTTCATCTTCTACAAGTATTACTGTAGACAGAACCTGTAGAGTAAAAAGGAAACTTTATTCAGAGAAAGGAGCTGTGAAGTGTACAGTTCTGTCTTGAAGTTAGCTGATAATGAAAATGTTGTACCTCAGGTTTTAAGTCAGCCATGACATCCTCTCTGCCGTTAACTGTTGCACATCTACTCAGGTAAAAATGAGCGTCATCCGTTTTTCCATTACTCATCAGCCACCTGGCAGACTCAGGGAGCCACCTATGAGAAAGAGCAATGAGAAGGTTTAGAAGGTCTTTTAAATACTTTTAGAAAGACAGGAACTAGTTTTCCCTGCATGAAAACTGAATAATGATATTAATTTGTCTTTACCACCAACAGAGCATAGCTGGAAACAGTGGGGAGATTACAGCAGCAGTCAGGAATCTCCAATCATTGATCAAATAGGCCACTCCAGGTAGAATAACACAACCAACACTCCAGTCCAAGCTCATTAAAACAGCCACTGTAGTCCGATGCCTGATTTCCACCCATTCAAGACCTATGTGGAGGAATTTTATGTATTTTTTTTATTAATAATGACACTGATTGAGGTTACTGATAAAAATAAGGATTTTGAGCAAACCACACCTGTATGGGCATCATCTCAAAAAAATTTAATTGTGTCAGTGTGATGTTTCATTTATTTTTTGTTCGATGTGAATGACAGGCAACTCACAGAGGACGAAGGAGCTTATACTAATTCCAGAGAGTCCGAGTCCAGTACAAAATCTCATTGTGGCAAACATTAGGAAATTATAGGACAAAGCGGTCGCAATCCCAAAAATGAAACTTGCCATGTAAGACAATAGAAGTGTTTTTTTCCGGCCAAACCTGTAAAACAAATTTTTTAAAAATTACAGTCAAATAATCTACGGAACACTTAAATGAAAAAAAGCCTAGATTACAACTGTTAAGAACAATTTCTTTTCTCCTAATTTTTGAAGTTGAATGTTTTTTTTAGCTCACTAAAATCAAAATAAATGTTAGACTTTTGAAAAAAAATGGAAAAACAAAAAAAAAAATCCTTTGCACTTGGAAAAATAACTAAAATAAAATAAAGGAGGGAAGTAAGGAAATAATATTTGTTTCAGTATTTCTTAATTTGGCAAAACCTTTATTACATACCAATGAGGTATTGATGGACATTTTTTATTAAGACTCTGGATGTCTACAAGACTGTGAGTCAACTGCTTTCAAAAAATTGTGTAATTTTAATTGTACTACCTGCAATGGCTATCCTAAATCTTGCCTTTGGCTTATACCAACCATGTAGTAATAATTAAAAAGACTAAAACTAAACATTTTCCAACAAGACAAACTAAACTGAAACAAAAAAAAATCCTCTGTAGAAACTAACTGAAAATACATTGAATTAAAAACTAAATGTCAAAATGAAATAAAATAAAAATTAATGAGAAAATAAAAAAACGTTAAAATAATTCTGGTCCCATTGTCACAGATGTTAAAAAAAGGCAGACCTAGCCATGCGGTCTGCCTTTTCAAACATTTGTGAATGAAGGGGGCATTCAGAAGACCTCTTTGATTTTGAGTGTGATGTAATGGGATGCCACTGTTGCAACAAGTCAGCCGTGAAGTGACCACACACCACACAAGGTTCCAGAGCACCAAGTGCTGAGGGCCATAGCACATGAAAAAAAGGGACACTATTAATAGAAGAACTGCAGAGATCCAAACTTTTTCCAGCATCAACCTGGAGCTGGAACTTTACGGCTTTGCCTTTTGGGCAGTTCCTGTATGGGTAATGTTTGGGTGGGCTTAATGCCTTGTCAGTATAGTGTACTTTTACATAATTGAAATATTTCTTATAAAGAAAAAAGTGAAATCCCTCTGACCTGAAGTATTTCAAAAAAGGTTGTTTTAAATATAAACAGTACTCTAGATAAAGGACCTTAGTGATGTTCTCCACTGTTCTGTCTTTGAGGCCTCTATGGAAGCATCCAAACTCATCTACTCACTGTTTCCACTGCACAGACTAGGATGTATTCAAGGTGCAGGACACTGACAATCGTGTCGCATTGGACAGTTACACCTCCACTGTCTTGGACTACATCTGTTTCTGTGTGGACAATGTAACAACTTGGAAACGATTCCGTGTGTTCCCTAATAATCCACCCTGGATGACACACGGAGTTCAACAACTTATTCGAACAAGGAACAACGCTTTCAAATCCGGGGACCAGGAGGCATACAGTGCTGCCAGGGCCAACCTGAGAAGAGGCATCAAGACTGCCAAGCAGCAGCACAGGAGGCGTATCGAGGCCAGGTTTGAGAACAACACAAACCCAAGGCAGGTCTGGGAGGGCATCAGGGCTATCACGGACTACAAAAGAAGAACACCATCACCCTCAGCCGACAGTTCTACTCTGGCTGAGGATCTAAATCTCTTTTATGCCCGTTTTGACAGGGAGAACACCGACCCTGTCCTGTCCCCTCTCCCCTCAACCGACCCTGCTCCGGTCCTGAGCACTCATGAGCTGAGGCGTGTGTTCCGGAGCATTAACACCAGGAAGGCGGCCGGGCCGGATGGAGTGCTGGGCCGGGTGCTAAAAGACTGTGCTGCGGACCTGGCGGACGTCTTCACCTCTATATATAACACCTCGTTGTCCTGTTCACTGGTACCATCCTGTTTCAAAGCAGCAACCATCGTTCCCATCCCAAAACAGTCAAATGTCACATGTCTGAACGATTTCAGACCTGTGGCACTCACCCCCATTCCCGCCAAATGCCTGGAGAGACTGGTCATTAAACACATCAGAGCTGCTTTTCCACCATCCCTGGACTCGCACCAGTTTGCATACAGGGAGAACCGGTCAACCGAGGATGCGATCGCCACAGTGCTGCACACATTACTGAAGCACTTGGAACACAGGAACACCTATGCACGGCTCCTCTTTGTAGACTACAGCTCGGCTTTTAATACCATCCGGCCATACAAACTCCGTCCCAAACTCCACCAACTGGGACTTAACTCCTCTCTGTGCAACTGGATTGTGGACTTCCTCACTAACCGTAGACAGAGTGTCAGAGTGGGTAAGAACACCTCTTCCACCCTTGTGGTCAACACCGGTGCCCCTCAGGGGTGTGTTCTGAGCCCTCTGCTATACACTCTCTTCACCCATGACTGTATTTCCTCCTGCGCGTCCAATCTCATTGTTAAGTTTGCAGATGACACTACAGTGCTCGGACTTATATCCAACAATGATGAGACAAACTATAGGACAGAGGTGCAACAACTAGAGTCATGGTGCCACGACAATAACTTGGTCTTAAACACCAAAAAGACTAAGGAGATCATTGTAGATTTTCCATCTGCCTCTCTTCATTGGCAGTGAGGCGGTGGAGAGGGTGAGCAGTTTTAAATTCTTGGGGGTAACTGTGACCGAGGACCTGTCCTGGGGCAACCATATCACCTCAGTTGTACGGAAGGCCCAACAGCGCCTCTACTACCTGAGGAGACTGCGGAGCGCACACATTCCCAGATCTCTGATGTTGAACTTCTACAACTGTGCCATCAGCAGCGTTCTGACGTATGGATTTCTAGTGTGGTTCCCCAGCTGCACCAAGGCCGATCAGCAAGCACTCCAGCGGGTGGTGAAAGAAGCTGGCAGAATTATTGGAACAAGTCTGCCAGAGATCAGTAATATCTTCCCCACTCGCTGTCTGAGGAGGGTGCACAGTATCCTGCGGGACCAACATCACCCTGCGCGCCACCTTTTCCATCTGCTGCCCTCAGGGAGAAGGTACAGGTCTATACAGGCCAGAACATCCAGACTGGCCAACAGCCTGTATCCACAGGCTGTGAGGCTCCTGAACTCTCTGCCCCCTCTCACGGACAATAACCATATCCAACTTCTTAATAGCAATGAACTGGTCTGCATTGGTGCATCATATCTTTATTCTCTTCCCCCTCCTGCCCCCCCCCTTTCTTAAATAGATAACTATCATATCTGATATCATATCTCACAGTACAATAATATTGAATGGGTTGCATTGTTGTATTTTGTCATGTTTCTCAGGTCTTTGTCTGAATTTCTACGAACATTATTGCTAAGGATTGTCTTATTGCATTGGAGTCACACTGGGTTAAATATGTACACTTGGGTTTTAAGGGGTATTTATTATTTTCTTCTTTTTTTTTGGGGTTGTATGGAAGCCCCAAACGCAATTTCATTGTTCTTGACAATGACAATAAATAAATAAATACTAAAAATACTAAAATACCTAATAGAGGGGCTTACTCCACCCTACTTGCAAAGTACCTGTGAATGATTACTTTTGGCAATACAATTTTGTTCTTTGCTATCTAGGGCTCATCATAATATTTGGCAATGCACACCCAGATCAATACAGACTTGTCACCATAGTTGTACAAAAAAATGTTAAGCATAGTTGATTTTATTATTCAGTGTGTTTGTGCTCGATTTTAAAGGTGATGACATGGACTCACCTGTCACTAAGGAAGCCAAATATTCCTGATCCTAACATGACCCCCACAAAGAATATGGTGGCCGTGGCTCTGTTCATTTTTTTCTTGTCACAAACCAGATCCCACTATAAAGGGAACAGAGACAAAAGGAAAACATAGGCTAATTCACAACTGGTATTAATTTCCTGCTTGTTAAATGGAAATATTGATCCTCACCTCTGTAGCCAGAGTAGATCTGAAGATGGTGGTGTCATATATCCAACCATTCTGGCATGGCATTGTGGGTATGTAGGTTAAGTTGGAAGAGTTTGACAGCAGTTGGTACTGAGGCTCTGCAAACATCTGACAGGAGCTCAAACTCCCATCCTGCTCAAAAGGGATATTAACATTGAGCCTCTCTTCCAAAGATAAATTCCTGAAAACACCTCCATTATTCTGAGACCTGATATCACAGTGGTGAGAGGGAATAAATGTAATAAAATTATTCAGCAGGAAGTTAAATGGTAAAGTCAGCCGTGGAATTATTAACAAGAGGAATGTTCTTAGTTGGAATCTTCCAAAGCCATTGATCTCTGCCAGCATATTGTCAAACCTCATCTTGGAAAACAAAAGAGACACAAACTAGAGAATAACCTGAAGCAAATACCTTCAGGAGCACAAAATAGATTTTCATAGTGAGCCACAAGCCGCTTTTATTCCATTAAGCGTTCTTGGTTAACGGTCAGCTGATGTTCAATGTGTTAATTTGTTGTTAGGCAGTATGAACAAAATAAACTGAACTCAGTGAACCGTAGAAGTAAATAAATAATTTTCCAAGAAAGCTGTAACTTTAGTGATAAAGTACCAAGGTCCAAAGTTTAAACAAATGTGTATTGGCTGAGTTTAATACAAGAAATTTCCAGTGGGGAAAAAGTCATTCTTTTTTTCCCTTTTTGTCAATACCTGTAACATCTTTATGTCTGTTGATCTAGCTTTTAAGAACATTTCTATTTTTTAACCAGAATTTAAAGTTAAGAAGTGAATTTGTTTGGGTCAAGGAGAAAAAATGATGTGGAGCACATTCTTTGCACAATAGCTCTAAAATTAGAAACATGCTGTCTCAGAGTGACCCTGAAAAACTAGTTCATACATTTGTTACTTCTAGACGGGACTACTGTAATTTGTTATTATCAGGATGTCCTGATAAACACTTCAGTTGATCCAAACTGAAGGAAGAGTACTGACAGGGGCTAGAAAGAGAAAGCATATTTTTGCTATATTGATATTGAATCATTGGCTCCCTGTTAAATCCAGAATTGAATTTAAAATCCTCCTCCTCACATACAAGGTCTTGAAGAATCTTGCCCCATCACATCTTAATGACCTTATGGTACTGTTTCACCCCATTAGACTGCAGGCTTACTTGTGGTTCCTACAGTATTTAAAAGTAGAGTGGGAGGCAGAGCCTTCAGTTTTCAGGCCCCTCTTCTATGGAACCAGCTTCCAGTTTGGATTCGGGAGACAGACACTATCTCCACTTTTAAAATTAGGCTTAAAACTTTCCTTTTTGCTAAAACATTTAGTCGGGGCTGGATCAGATGACCCTGGATCCTCCCTTAGTTTCGGTAGAATAGGTCTAGGCTGCTGGGAGATTCCCATGATGAAGTGTTTCTTCTTCACTCACCTTTTTTACTGTGTTATATGCCACTCTGCATTTAATCATGAATTATTATTAATCTCTGCCTTCCTCCCACAGCATGCCTTATTTCCTGTCTTAATTGACTCAAGAGTTTTTCCTTCCTACTGTTACCAAATCGCTTGCTCATCAACAGGGGGTCATATGATTATTGGGGTTTTTCTCTCTTTTCTTTGTATTATTGTAGGGTCTTTACTTTACAGTATAAGGTGCCTTGAGGCAACTGTTGTTGTGATTTGGCGTGATATAAATAAATCTATATTGAACTGAATTAACAGAGAATGAAACAAAATGGGTCTGCAGACCAGAGGGTCTGCAGATGGAAATTAGCCCAAGGCTATAATCTGGCATATTTACATTTGTTAAAATGTTCATTAATATGTATTGCCCCTCTTTCTAAAAAATAAATAAATAAAATAAATGAAGCCAACATCCAAGGAAAAGCCTTGAAATGTCCTTCAAGAAGCCTGGAGAACTATTCCTGAAGATTATTGAAAAATATTACAAGAGAAGATGCCTAAGAGACCTCTTAATTTAATGTGAACAGAGATATATGAAACAAAAGCTCATTAATGTTTCAGTCATTTATTGAGACAGTTTAATTACCAACTATTACCTACTATATAATTTTATATCCACAAATCATATTTTTCCTAAATGATATAAAGCCAAACTAGAATTTTCATTTAAAAAAACCCCTCAAATCTGTATTATTTAATGCCTTGTATTTTTGGGTTTTTTTTTTTTTTAATTAGCTCATATTTTTACAAATTGACAGATACCAGGGCTTGTATATAGCTTTGGGTTTTACTGTAATTGGCTGAATACATACATTCCCTAACCCTTCTCAACAAACTCACAGAACAGAAGGTCTAAAATTACATATACACTTTTGACAAAACTTGATACAGAGCTGACATTTTGTTTGTTTCCAGCTGCTTGTAGGCCTCTTTCTTCTAGACTGATAAATTATTCAGCAACTCAATCAGTGAAAGTTGCCCAAATGACACTTGCACACATATACAGACATGAAGTCATGTTATTAATTATAATGAGAATGACTGGTTACAATCTAAGGCCAACTGACAATGAATAGTTTGTGATAATGCAAATTACTTGTGACATACAGATCATTCTCAGGCATGTAGGCATTTGTAGCAGTGCACCTATCATGACCTAATATGCTTATGTACAGACTTTACCCACCTGGAGAGTCTTCTTCAGTTATGTGAATGACCTGACAAAAAGCTGTATTACGTAGAAACTATAATTCTAACAAGTCTGGTGTAACATATAGCATACAAGTAGAACAGAGTTAAGGCTGCTTTGAAATGTGCTTCATTCTTTTTAGAAATAAACAATGGAAATGTATGCCATTTTTACAAGGTTATTGCATGTATCTAAAAAGTGTGAAAAAATGATGTAATAGCACTGATATAATAAACGAAACTAGACTAGACATGAATTAAAATTACTATGAAATGATGCTGTGTACTAACACATAATTTTATCTCTATTCTTTGTTAGTTTGTTCACATCAACTTATATACTGTTTGTGTATTGAGCTGGATATTGCGATAGCTGCACGACTTCCAAAACACACATGACCTGAAAAATGGCCTAATATTAGAATATATTTAGACAACCAGTAAAGCTAAACAGAAGCAAAAACAAAACAAAAATATAATAATAATAATAATAATAATAATAATAATAATAATAATAATAATAATAACAACAACAACAACAACAACAACAACAACAATAATAATAATAATAATAATAATAATAATAATAATAGAAAACTAAAAATAATAGTTCTTAATTTCATCAAAGGTGCTTGAAAGGATCATATAACTAGATGGATAAACATGCTGCAGAACATGAACATCCCAGTCACCAGGAACAACCTGCCTCGAGTCCATCTTCAACCTATTTTGTCAGTAAGATGGTCAAAAACTGCTGCTCCAACCATGACCCCAATGAAGACAATGGTAGCTGTGTTTTTCTGTTAGTTTTTGTCTTATCACAAACCAGATCCCACTATGAAGGGAGGATGGCCGAAAGAAGAACTTTAGCTGATTTAGGACTGGTATTCATTTCCTGCTTTTTAAATGGAAATATTGAATCTCACCTCTGTAGCCAGAGTAGATTTGAAGGTGGTGGAAAACAATAACTTGTGTGCACCTAACAGGCCAAACATTTACTTTATACTGAGGATGGTAGGATGGAAATTTCCTAATTTAAAAAAAAAAGCATGCATGGAAAGTGGAAGTCAATAAAGCATGGAAGTAAATAAACTCAATAAAGTAAAGTAAGCATCACCATCGATTCACTATCAATACCAGCCTATCTTTTCATTTGCTAATGAAATGTGTTGTATACAGTGAAACATGACAAGACTAGTGAATGACAAGTGAATAATAGTGGTGTTAACATTACGTTTATTGACACTTGTTGAGCATTTCAACAATGATGATCTTTGAAGTTGTAACATGGTAACTTTACTATTTAAAAATCAGTTAAGATCCAATCATTATAAGTCTTATTATTGATGACTGTGTTTTTCTTATTGAATCTCCTTCCTTGGTGACTGTCTCCTGCAATATAAATAAGACTTCAGTTAGTCATTTGACCTTACATGCAGACATCAGGACATAGAATGTAATGTGTATTTTGGACTTTGATAAACAGTAAACTGCAGTTTACTGGATTATTGTTTCGTGGGGAGTTTCTGTGAATGGTTAATCTTTTAGCTTTAGTTTGGATACTGAATTGCATGCTGTGATGCTTTAACACTCTCTTCTCTTTACCTTGGTTTCTCAATATCTTCGATGAACTCTGGCAGTCGGGTGTTTAATGTTTCGGGCAGAAGTGAAGCAACTAAACCAGTTCCAACTGCCACTGCACAGTAAGTGGCTGCAGGGAGGAGATGCCACAGATCTTCCAATAGTACAATGAGTGGAGAAATGGACACGCCAAGTCGTGCAAGAAATGAGGTGTAGCCTAAGCCATTTTGTCTAAAAAGATCAAACCACTGAGGTTAATATAAACCTTTCATATGAATAATCAAAGCAAGGCAGAAGAACGTTTTTTGTGGACTAACCGTACGACCGTAGGGTAAAGCTCAGTTGTGTAAAGATACATGATAGTGAACGAGGCCTCTGACATAGATTTTCCAAGAACTGCCACAACAGTACGAACAGTCCATTTATCTAAGGAGAACAGGAGAGAGAAAATTTTCAGGTGAGAGAACACATCCACCCAAGACCAATGCTCTATCTTTTAATTTCTAAAGATTGATCCTGCTTACCACCGGAAATGAACGCATACATTCATATCAACTCTCGGTGGCAGAAATAAACCGCTAAATGTACGAGAAATGAAAGAGAAATGACCTTTTGGAACAAAGATGTTGATGAAGAGACAGAGACCAGTTAATAGCATGGAACCCATCTGGCCATGCTTTCTCCCAACTTTCTCCAGGAAGTAATAGACGCCAATCTTCATGGGCATTTCAATGGATGCAAATATGAACTGTGTTAGGTATGGGTTCAGTCCAAATCCTGTGATATTCAGAGTTATTCCATAGTATGTAAATGCAACGCCAAACCTAGAAAAGAGGGAGAAGAAACACTTAAACTTAGGCTGATAAATAAAGGGGTAAATACAAATTTCCTCAAAGAAAACCCAAACATGATTGCAACTCTCATTTAAATATTTTTTTAAAATATTTTTTACACTGTATGCTAGAACAAAATCAAAAGCTGTGTAAATTTCCCAGTGTCAAAAATGATAGCTATAAAAATAACAATTGCTTTATTTCCGTAAGATAGCTCAAAGGCTTTAACATCTTTGTCCCAAGTACAATTTGCCCCATTTGTCTATTTAATAATCCACCCATAACTGTCACTTAAGATAGCAAAAATACACACACAAACACACACACAGAGAAAAGTCAGTTAACTCTTTTTAAAGTGCGTTTGGTAGAAAATGCACACATATGATGAATATCTGGAAGAAATCAATTTGCCTTTTCCCAAAAAGCTGAACTATCTCCTAACTCCAAACCATTATACCGAAACTTACCATAGCATTCCTGAGTATATAGCAAGTTTTCTAATATTTGGGGTTCTGAAAAGATCTACAAAAGTGTACTTCTTAGCGCCATGTTCAGTTTCTGCACATTCCAGTAATGTCTGCGAGAAAGTCAGGGAAACATAATGTGAATGTTCATTTACAAAGCCCCCTTTTTGTCTTATTTTACAGTAAGACTGTCGGCTAATAAAAAAAACCCCAAAAACATTTTGAGATGTACTGTTGGTGTGATGGTGGCCATGCACTTGGATCTGTTGTTCATCTTGGCACATTTCATTATGTAATGATGAGCAGCATCTGTCTTTCCTTTGGCTACAAGCCACCTAGCAGACTCTGGAAGCCACCTAAATCAACAAACATGGTGAGTTTAGCATCTGATCAAAATCCAATGAGATTAAGGATACTTTGCAAAGTCGGCAAATAAAACTTAAATACCTCCAAGCAATGATAGACAGAATCAGGGGGGAGGTAACTGCTAGAATCAGCTTCCTCCACTCGTTTACAAAATATGCAGTGCCAACCAGGATCCAGTTCCCAATTGTCCAATCCAGGCTTATGATCACACCAGAAAAAGTCCTGTGTTCAATGCTAAACCATTCAACATCTGCAGAAACATTAGCACAAGTATATAAAAAAAAAATTTATAAAACAAATTGTGCAAATTCTTGAAAGAGAAACAGAATATGCCTGTAAACATGAACCAGGCTATAATGTCTCAGTCATAGGTTAGCACAGCTTTAACAATATCCTGCTTACTCAAAACAATGGCCATGATGCTTATTCCTGCGAGTGACATGCCCGTAAAAAATCTCAAGATGACAAACATTACATACGAGGTGGAGAATGCACTCAGCACTGCAAATATCAAGGATGCCAGATAAGACACGAGCAGAAGAGGACGTCGCCCAAACCTGGTCATGGACAGAAAAAGCATGAAGTAATGACTGTGCTCACAGCTGTGGGGTAAACCTCTCACATGTATATATTTTAGTGCTGTCGGTGTTAATCTCGTTAAAATGATGTTAGCGCCATAACCGCATTAACGCAGCAAATCTCCTTTAGCGAGTTAGCACGGATCGCCCCGTGCGTGGGGCAGCACGGCGCCGTTAACGCTGACAGCACTAATATATTTATAATTCGCAAGACGGTTTAATTTTGCAACACTTCAACATCTCTCTTATTGATCTTATTGTTATTTTTTTTTTCAGTTATATACATATATGTCTGTATCCAAGTTGGCATTGGTAATGGTACTGGTAGAGATTGAAACAAGTCAGACCTGGAAAATAAAAATAAAATAATACATTTCTGGTCATTTTGTCGAATATACTAGTACATTAAAAAAACTGGAATATTATGGAATATAATTTCATTTAAAGCAGTAAAATTTTTGAATTAAATCAACCATGTTCTATATCCATTACAGGCGATGTGAAATATTTCAAGTCTTCCTCTTTTCTTTATTTTTTTTGTTATGTGTGATATTATCAGTGTTGGGAAGGTTACTTTAAAAATGTATTCCACTACAGATTACAGAATACATGCCCCAAAATGTATTTTGTAAGGTATTCCGTTACGTTATTCAATGAGAGTAATGTATTCTGAATACTTTGGATTACTTAATATATTATCATGCTTTTTACAACTACACTAATGTACTATTGCTGTGTGATTTATTGCTTTTACTGAAGGTTATTCGTCATAGCAATGCCAACTAGATTTTTAAATCTTAATATAAAATGAGTAACAGGGTTGATATTAGGTAAGGCTGCACTTTTTTCAGTGATCCCATATAGAAAACTATCCGGCGCGTATATAAAACAGGTCTGCAGTGTTGGGGAGTAACGGAATACATTTACCGCAGTTACATATTTAAAATACAAAATACGAGTAACTGTATTCCGTTACAGTTACCGTTTAAAAAGGTGGTATTCAGAATACAGTTACTTTGTTGAAATAAAGGGATTACACGGCGGTACTTTCCTGTTTCATATGTTAGGCTATGCTCTCTCTATTTTTGGTAATTCCACGCCGGTGTAAACCCAAACAAAACACGCATTAAGAGGCTCAAATGCCTGTGTCTCAATCTCACATCTCATAATGACGTGAAGAAATATTTTTTAAAATTATTTAATATGAAGGCAATAGGCAGAGTCTTACAGGCATCGCCCTAAAGAATGTAGCCTCCTGGGCAGCTAGTCCGTGCTGCAGGGAGAATGGACTGCCGTACCCGTTATGTGTCTGTGAGCAAGGGAAGGAGAAAAAGGAGATTGGAAAAGTACGAGTTGTCATCGAGCAGAAACGGGAGATGGAAGCATGTAAATATAATAATAACCCCTGCAGCCAAGAAGAGTGCCTGACGAGCCCAGTTGTAAGTACGCTATTAAGACGACTGTACACCATGTTCGTGTTTTCCTCTGAAACAACAAGTTCCGCTGGAGCCTTTCAACGCCTCTCTCTGTCTCTCGCTAGCAAAGTTGACCCAGACAACGAAGTAAAGCTAGTTTTCGGCTACGAGCCCGACACGGAACCGGATGTATTAGCCAGAGGTCCCTTTACGGTTTTACACCTCTACGGTGCCTTAATCATCAAAATTATCGCAAAAAATGATTTAAAATATTTCACAATGTAGCGTGTATATGAGAAGAACTAGTATTTTTGACCATTTAACCCTTACCTGTCACTGAGAAACCCAAAAACTGGGGCTCCAACCATAACACCAATAAAGAAAATGGTTGCAGTTGCCTTGTTCATACCTTTTCTGCTGCACACGAGATCCCACTGCAAATAATCGTTAAAATATTACAATATGTGATTTTACAGTTGCGTCTTCTGGAAAATAAACAATAATTAAATGAATGATGCCTGGGGAAATTACATTTAGCTAGTTGGATTATTTTCTGTAGATAATAAAATGGATAGAAAATTATATCCTTAATGTTAGCAAAAGAAAATTTGTTCTTTAAAAAAAAAATCCAAATGACTGTGTAAAATGTCTCTGTTCAACACAACTAATTCTCACTTACCTCTGTTGCCAAAGTAGACTTGAAAGTGCTTTTGTCATATACCCATCCATTTTGACACTGAACAGTAAATGAGCCTTTGCTGCTGTTTGAACCTAACAGATATTCATATTGGGGCTCTGAAAACATCTGACAGGAGCTTGGAGTCCCATCCCGCTCTGCTGGAATACCAACGGCTAATTTCTGATCTAAAGTTAAATTTCCAAAGACAGCTCCAGTATCCAAAGCATCGATGTTGCAGTGATGCGAAGGAACAGCTGCCATGAAATTATTCAGCAGAAAGTGACATGGCAAAGTAATTCGAGACAGGATCTGAATCAAGACTAGAGCAATTTGGAATTTTCCAAATCCATTAATTTCTGCAAGAATGCTGTCAAATTTCATTTTGCTGTGCTTCCTGTATCTCCGGGAGGACAAATGCTCTAAAAGTCAAGTGAAGTAGAGTATCACTCACTATAAAAGACACATTCACCAGCACAATGTTAATAATTAAAATGAATACCAAAAACATGTATTAATAATGTAACTTAACTGTACCCAGTACGATACAGTTACTCAGTCAAACACTGGCTTTGCTTTGATCAGTTGTAAGGCTGATATGTTTATTCAAATGCTATAATAGTCAGGATTTATAATTGAAAATTAGCACTCACAGTAGAGAAAGCAAGAATGTGATCTAAAATTGATCTCAGTTCTCAAGAAAGCACTCTTATCCCACAATGCAGCTGCAGTGCAATATGCAAAGGAATCAGATGGTTTTGTAATGTTTTATTTTACAATGGTAGTAAGTTCTAAGATATCAGCTCTGGCAGGGCTTAAATTTTATAACAAACACATCACACCCACAGGCAACTTAATATTTTAGCACCATATTATGTACACAGCCCAAAGAAATATACAGTCACACAGGATTTCTTCATGTAGCAACTGCACCAAGATAAAACCAGCCACAAAAATGAGATCAACTATAGGAAGATTAAACCGATCTGCTACAATCTGCACAATAAAAACTTGGATGAGAACATAACAAATAAAAACATCTCTGAAAATTTGGCAGCCAAAAGCAAGAGCTCCCTTTACAGCAGAACCAACCTAATTACAACATTTTTCAATACAACAGCTGAAGACCATTGCCACACACCTGCTGCTGATCAGCCTCGTCGGGGGAGCTATTTAAGGAAGACACGGCATGGGAGTCAGGTGAACGCATGGGGATTGTTTGTGTGAATAGTTACTGCACTGTAAATAAATGCACTGTTCACCACATGGAGTCCAGCATTTAGGTCCTCCTTTCCCCACATCCCCACGGTCTGCCAGCGCTAACCGTGACACCAAGTGACACATAAGACTTCAGTGTTTGTGTTTAAATGGAGACAAGAAACAAAGAGTATGCTGAGTAGCACAAAAATGAACCATAAGTGCGTGTGACGCATTTCTAGGAAAACATTTTTTTTTCCTCTACATACCACCGAAGTGGATTTTAAAAGAGGGTTCAATAAAATTATTGTATTAACTGCTTAGAAATTACTGACAGTTTTATATTCTGTAAAGAATTTTCAGTATCCAAGTAATTTATATTACAGTAGTTTGTCCAATTTGTTTGATCCTCCCAAAATGGGGACTACATATAAAAATGTCGGTAACCCCTTTTCCTGCTGCCCCATATTTTTTTAATTATTATTATTATTTTTTTTAGAAAGAAGAGGCTTTCTCCTGGCAACCCTTCAAAAACATTTAACATGATAACTTCACAGGGCTGCATAGCTTTGTGTTAAAACTCTTTTTTCCCCACCTGACAGTATAAATGGAGAAACTGTCACATGACTGTATAAATAAACAAAAAATAAGCACAAAAAAGATACTGTGATACCTGACTTGCTTTCCAACAGAGTTTAAGATCTTAATATGTTTTTTTACTTCTAATAATAAACACTGTTTTCTTAAAGATTAACCGAATGATGCGTTATCCCTTTTTACTTTACTTCAGCAAACCACACTTTCAAAACTAGATTGAATTCCATTTATGGTCATCCCCTCAAAGAGAACAGCAGTCTTACATAACCGGTTTACCATTCTGCTGAGATTATTATTATATTAACCCTAATTAAAGGTACATTATGATGAGCAAATCACCATAAATGTATAGGTATTTTAAAACACTATGTAGTATATATCTGCTCGAATCTGAATATAAGAGTCTGTTACTATTATTGCAGTTAGTTTCTTTCAAGTGGTGAATTATTTTAATTATATAATTAATCAAAACCAAACACAGATACTAAATTCAAAGCTTGTTTCAAATGAATCTAAAAATATTTTGAAGCTTCTCAATTGACATGTTCATTATGTCACCTCACTGCCCCTGCATCAACTGAACTGTGTAGGTGGCACATGGGGATGGGTTAGGAACACCTCTTCTTCTCCCTCTTTAAATACAGCTGCATACATGAATGACCAAGGCTACATATGAGCAGTTAGTGGGATAACACTCAGGATCATTTTTTTTAACAGACAGGATGTGAAGATGCCTGTGCTGGATATCAAGTGCAAAGATGTATAATGTAAGTACCTGATGTTTGGAAAATTATTTTCTTTTAGGGTCTCTTACAGATGTTTAACTCTTTCTGATTTGATTTCATTAATTTCATTTTTAGCTTTGACTTTAATTAACATCTCTATTGATAACAATACAAAAAGTGTAATTTATTATCATGTCATGAAGTGTTTTACCCTTTGCTTGAATTTCTGTGCTTTTCTGCACCAGAAACTGCTCGAGAAACCTGGTTTCCTAAATTCAGTGGCATGAGTTTAAAATATATATGTGACTTAATAAATATATATTTTCACGTTGATTTTGATTTTTGTGGGTTCTGTGGGTTTGTTCTGCCATGAGGCCACTGAAATGCGCAATAAAACTTTGTGTGCAGAGACTGCTGAAAATGCTTCCACATGTTTCTTATGGTTGAGCTTAAACTGTCTAATTATGTAAGAACATGGAAACATCTAATCCGCTAGAGCTCAGTTCTCATTTGGGTTGCCCTTCAGAACAAGAGTTCACTCCTTTGTCAAGGATGCTGACTCTCTGTTTCCATGGCAATAAGTCAACAGACTGAGGTTACTGCCATACTTGGAAAAAGAAACCCCTGCTGCAGCACAGTCAGATTTGCTGGTGGTAGAGTGGAACCAAGGGTGAAGATAAGCCGGTGGTATGCGACAGTGTTTGTACAAAACGTGGCTAGTGTGCAAGAGGTCTTTCAGTTTTAGTAATCCCACAGCTGCATATGTGGTCAGAGGATTACATCCACTCATTATGAGCATGAATGTTGTAATAATTTGGGGCTTTTAATGATTTCTTTGAATTGTTCTAGCTCGATATTTAACCAGTCGTATTTGCAGAGCCAGCTTTCAATCATGGACAAGAAAGGGAGTTTAAAGTGGGAAAGCCATTGCAGACCCTAATGTTATAGCTTTATCATTCCAAGGCTCCAGTTTTCATGTAAGTTGATTTAAGGTGAAGTTGAAGAAATTGCAAGTATTTATTCTTCATTGTTTCATCCACTTTATGCAATGCACCATTACCACAGGCAGCAAAACAGTCCCAGAGCTTGATGATACCACCACCATGCCTGAAAGCTCGTACAGTGTTCTTAGGTTTGAAAGCCTCACCTTTACTCCTCCAATTATTCCTCCTGTCAGTGTGAACAAATAGCTCAATCTTTGTCTCATTGGATCATAAAGCTTTTATCCAGAAGGCCTCTGGCTCATCCAGGTGGGCTGCTAAAATAAATCTCAGTTGAGATTGAAGGTGTTGATTTTGGGACAGGTTGTGTTTCTTGGTTGGCACACTCTCAGTCCATGGCGATGTAAAACATGTGAACAGTGACACTGGTGTTCCAGCAGTTTCCAGTTCATGGCACACTTGAGTCTTGATTGTTGCTAGGTTTTTCCTGAACATCCGAATCAATTCCCTCTCATCTGATGGTGACAGTTAGGGTCCTCTTAGAGAAGCTGGCAAAGTGTAGACACATCTGAATAATTGGTACTAATGTACAACTGTTTGAAGTAGCTAAAATCCCTTCTTAGACCTTCACTGAATTCCTGCTTGCAGCTTTTATGCTGGCAAAGAGAAACTACAAGTTGTCATCAATCTTGATGACTGCTGAGAATTTAGGAGGCCATGGTCATGTCAAGGTTAAAAGCAGATTTAAATGAGTATATGTTTATATTTGAGCCTGTATGAATTGGAGAAAAAACAAAATAAATTCAAGCTTGTGCACCCAATTTTGTGTTTTTTAAATAATTGCTTTAAACTTACAAAGTAAGTAAGTTTAAAGTTTAAGTAAGTTTAAAGCAATGATTAGTGTATGTGTACTGTATCTGAGAACTAAACTAAACTCTGATAGAACCAATTGTGGATGGATGGATGGTGCAGGTCCATCCATCTGTCTGTCCATTTTCTGCTGAGTCATGGAGGCGGCTGTTTAAACAGAGATACCCAGACCTCCCTTCTCCAGAGTCACCTCCCTTAGCTCATCGAGTCGGTCACAGAGGTGTTCCCAAGCCATTTGAGAAACATAATTTCCAGCATGTTTTGGGGCCTCCTCCAGAATTTCCATTTGTACTTACTAGCAACCACAAGCAATAAAATGTTATAGTAAACAGAAGAAACGATAAAGGTCCCCCCTAACACGTACAAATGCCCAAGAAAAAGTAATAATTAATGACAGTAGTGAATCATCAATTTTCAGCTTGTATTGTCTTTATAGCAGAGGGTGTACCTAAAATATGTCTAAAGCAATTCAAAGCTAATCAACTGAAAAATCAAACGATATGATCTTTGTCACATCACTGTAAAAATGAGCTAAAGTTTAAACACTGTATACAAACACAATTCAAACACAGCTGCGGGTTAATGTCATTGTCATTATCATATCAGGTAATAGACTTACCTGGCCTCTTAGCCAGCTCCAAAAGACTTTGAGTCGGACATTTAATATCTTTTGATACTGATGTTTTTTTTAGTTATGACTTGATCATTTCTACACAGCTGCTATCAAACCAAAATATACATTTATTTAAAATCAAAAGTGTAGAGTAGTATTTGAAAAACAAACAAGCAAAGAACCCACAAAACCAAAAAAGATGAAAGAGTTAATTCTTTTTGGAGACTATATAATTTTTTCTCTGGTGTCATCCTCGGGTCATTATGGTAATATTAACTGACTGATGTAAGATTTACTGACCTTATCCTCCTGGGAGAACCTTCTCTTGTACTAAGCAAGACATTTATCTCCTCTAACACCATATTTTAATAGAGGCAAAAACTCTGGTTTTCCCAGTCCACTTAAATGTACATAAACAAAGTGGTACTCTATAGAAAGAGCGTGTTTCCAAGACCTATTAGGAGGTGTATGTGTTTGGTTGCTTTTTAGAAAATATGGCTTCAACAAAACATGTCTTTGGTTTTCATATAAACTCTTCCTGTGTATAAGAGAAAGTTGGGTTCCTTATAGTGACATAAGATAAGATAAGATAAGATAAGATAGAACTTTATTAATCCCTCGGGTGGGTTCCTCTGGGAAATTCGATTTCCAAAAAAGCACAGCACCGACAGAAGTTACAGAGTTATACACACACACATATATATATAAATACAGAGACAATATAAATAAAATATACGAAGGGGATAAATAGAATAAATAGGAATAAAAATAAAAATACAAGTGAATTGCACATTTCAAGTATTGAGTCTATTGCACCGTTGACTATTTACAAAAGTATTGCACAAAAGGTATTGCACAGTGAGGTGAAGAGGCACTACAGCTTAGTTGTTCCCTCCTTTGTCCTCCTGTTTCCCCTCCCTCTCCCTCCAGAGAGGAGTTAAACAGTCTGATGGCGTGTGGGACAAAGGAGTTTTTAAGTCTGTTAGTTCTTGTCTTTGGGAGAAGCAACCTGTCACTGAACAGACTCTTCTGGTTGTTAATGGCCGTGTGCAGAGGATGCCTGGCATTGTCCATAATGTCCATCAGTTTCTTTAATGTCCTTTTCTCTGCCACTGTCACCAGAGTGTCCAGCTTCATGCCGACCACAGAGCTAGCCCTCCTGATCAGTTTCTCCAGCCTGGATGAGTCCTTCTTTGCTGTGCTGCTCCCCCAGCACACCACAGCATAGAAAAGTACTCCAGCAACCACCGACTGGTAAAACATCCTCAGGAGCTTCCTGCAGATGTTAAAGACCTCAGCCTCCTGAGGAAGTACAGTCGGCTTTGGGCTTTTTTATACAGGTGCTCTGTGTTGCATGACCAGTCCAGTTTATTGTCCACCCACAGCCCGAGGTACTTGTACTTGTTGACCACCTCCACCTCCTCCCCCTCTATCATATATGGTAACGAGATTATTATAGATGAACCTGGGTGTTTTTTGTTTGTTTGTTTGTTTTAGATGAACACTCCACTTACTGTATGCATAGTGTACAGCGTGGGACTACACAGTGTGAAGTTTCTACAGCTCGTACTGACTTTAATTTGGATGTTGAGTCACAGTGTTAGAGTGCCACCTCTTGGTGAATGTCAGGAAATTTTTTAATTTACAATAAAAGATTTATATTGTCAGTAAAAAACTATTTTTAGTGCTCCCTCCTGCTCTACAAACAGCTCTCCCCCTGTCTGAGCCCTGCTCTGACTGTCTTTTACAGCTGTTTTGAAAAGGACAGATTTTTCTTCATAGTCATTTTCTCAGTTGTGATATAACAACTGATTACCAAAAAACAAGCTAAGAAACAAACAAAAAAAGCATGTGACAAAATAAACAATGTCTTTGAAGGAAGGGAAGGAGGACTGGTGTCTTGGATTTAGTTCTTACATGGAGAGGCTGACAGAGATTTCGGTTGTTGTGACAGATGACGGCAGCGGAGGGAAAAGAAATCTCTGTATAAACACAAGTTCGGAAAACAGCCACCAATTGTTTTGCTTATGCTCTTGGATGTGAATGCTGTTTCCCTCATGATAATACATACCATTCCATTTACAGCAATGGCAGCCCTGTTGAAACTGCCAAAGCAGAGCTGCACTTCCTATTGGGGATAGGAATAATTTAGGAAATAACATGGTAACCACTAATGTCACAAAGGTCACTGAATGCTAAAAATCTCTTGAGCTGAACAGAAAACATGAATTGTAGCCAAGGGTGGACCTTCAGGGGCATGCTATATAGTTATATGTGTGCTGAAATAGTTTGTTATATTGAGATATATATACCTAAAGGGAAAAGATTAATTAGCCTTAAGTTGTTTGTCCTTGTCTTAATGAAGGTATTGCTGGTGAAACCCAGGATATTGTGAAACACTACTAGAGATGGAACCAGAAACGGAAGACCAAGAGCAGAGTGGTAACTTGGCCCCCTGGTCAGGTTCAGATGGGTCCCAGGAGATTTATGTGTCTGGGTCTGTGGTAGAGTCCCACAATGAAGATGAAGTCAGCGAAGCAGAGTACCCGTTAGAGCCAGAAAGTACTTATATCTCCAAGTATGACCCTGACTCCCCAGAACACCTTCAAGAATGGGAATCTGCAGGTGAGCAACAGTCCCCGCCTGAACTTAGTGGAAGTGAAGAAGAAGTATCATATCAGGAAGAGGATGACATCTACCTTAGTGAGTCGAGAGAGTCTCCTCACATCCAAACCTCACAAACATCCCTGCATCCAGAGTGCACAGACTCAGAGGATCATGCTGGCAAGATATCACGGCCACATTCCCAGTCTTCTTTCTCCTCTCTTGGCTGTGCTGCTGATATGACCATGGCCTTGACCCTGACCACAGGACAGCCCACGGGAGCCAGTAATAGAAAAGGCCCAGAGACTGGAAACAGCAAGCTTGAATCTTCAGAGGAAGGAGGGAGCAGTGAAGCACCTCCTGCTTCTGTCTCCTTTGGAATTTCAGATGAGGGTGCTGAGCAGGCAGAGAAGTGGAACTCGGAGTCTGACACAGATCTGTGCAGACCAGACAGGCAGAGGGCAAAGTACACACGTAAGTATCGATCTTCTACCCTCCTTTTATGTGTCAGTCAAGGTAGTACTGCAAACTGCACAGCAGCAGAAAGGTTGTTTTTTTTCTAAGATTTAAAATGATTTAATAAGATTTGTGAACAGTTAAGATATTATTTAGTTACTTTAAATTCAGCCAGCTGAGGCACACATTACAGTCAGTGAATAAAGTTTTTAAAAAGTTACCTTTGGCTGTATTTACATAACTTTGACAAAGCACAATGGGTGCTGCTGTTTTTTCATGCTGTAACACAGGGTCTATTTGAAGTGGACTTACTGGGAGAATACCCATGGCTTTATTAGTCAGAGCAGGATAAGAATAAAATATGACCATATGATGAGGCTGGCAGAAACAAATTTGACAGACACCAGCATGTGTCACCCTGGCCTGTCACCCGATCCCTTTTCCGATCGTAAGCCTTGACTGCAGTGGAAAATGAGCTCCTCACTTTTCTTGCCTTATGGATGCCCCCTAAGTTAGCTGTAAGTAAATATGATGCTTTTATTAGTGTGCTTGCTTCAGCAGGGGGATCTGAAATTGTGTCTTACCTGTCATGCTTCCATTAGTTGCTTATACTAATGGCATTATCAGTCCCATAGCTTTTTTTTTTTTTTACTTTACTGAAAATTGACCAATTGAGTACAGTGTAAACAAAAAACATTACAATCCACATTTTCCTATGTTTTATGGTTCAGCTTCTTCTTGTTTTAATCTCTCTCCTTCCTCCTCCTCCTTCTCCTCTCACCCTCGTTCTCTTTCTGTCCCTCCCTTCATTTTTTTCTTTGTCTCAGGGCTCAGTCGCGGCGAGAGCCAGTCAGAAAGGCATGTCAAGGAGACCAAGTCTAAATGCAAGAGAATTGCTCGGCTTCTAACCGATGCGCCAAACCCCCAAAATAAGGGAGCCCTGCTGTTCAAAAAACGCCGGCAGAGAGTCAAGAAGTTTACGCTTGTGAGTTACGGAACTGGTGACAACAAGGTTGACAGTGAAGACCAAATAGAGGAGGGGGCTGAAGAAGTTAGATCAGCCGGGTATAACTTTGTGGCCACCAGTGATTCAGAGTTAGAGGAGCAGTATTCTCTTTATCAGCAGCAGCACAATTTGAGTCTGAATTGGGGAAGTGTTCAAGAAATGGATGCTCTACCAGAGACAAAAGGGAAGGGAGTTTTGATGTTTGCTCAGCGGCGCAAACGAATAGATGAAATTGTTACCGAGCATGAAAAACTGAGGAGTGAAGGATTACCTGTGGAAGTATTAACAGAACCTGCCTGTGAACAAGCACAGCAAATTTACGACACTGAGGAAATGTACGCGCATGCTGATCAGGCAGATCAGAGTTATATGAATGCAAATCTCAAGCAGCATGGAGAATACCAAGAAGATTTCCAGGACATGAACCATCTGTCCAATGTACCAAAACCCTTGGTACCAAACAGAACTGCAAGGCCTTTTCTAGGATTTCAAGATAGCCCAAGTTCTACCCCCATACCTGGGAGTGTTGTTCCAGTTACAAAGAAACACGAAACAAGATTTAAAGTACCTGTGCCTATTAACACTAACCCACAGGTTTGGTCTCCAACTGGAGACATAATAGCCTCAAGAGATGAGCGAATATCTGTGCCAGCCATCAAAACTGGCATCCTACCAGAATCAAAACAGAAAGCCACTAATAAACAGTCATCTGTGCGGGCACAATATTCAGATCTTCACACTCAAAACAAAGGGGAAAGGAGGTCTTATATTGATTCGGAGGAGGACTGTTTTAGTCTAGGTGCTGAAGCTTGTAATTTCATGCAACCCAGAACAATAAAACTCAAGAATCCCCCTCCAGTAGCCCCAAAACCCACCCTCAACCCAAACTGTCCACCATGGATGAGAAGGAGCCCCTCCAGCGAGCCCAATATTCCGCCAAGAAGTCCGGTTTCACAACCTTCGCACAGTCCCGTGGGTCCTCATAGTCAGAATTACTTACAGCAACAAGACTGGGCTCAGCTTCAACAGATGGCCAACCGCTGGGCACCAGATCAAACTCAGGCAACACTTCAAACACCTACTAATGCCTGGGCTCCGGACAGCTCTTCTCAGCTTCATCTGCAGCCAACCACAAATAGCTGGAGTCAACAGCAGCAACGATCCCCTGTGAGTATGCAGGCCCACAGTCCTACTTACAGACCACAGTATCCAACTTCACGCTCAAAGAACAAGGCAGACAGCACTTCACACTCAATTGCCTCTTGCCCACCACAAGCAGGGAAGTCATATATCCACTTGTCAAAAGCACCACAGTTTTCTCCAAAGGGTCGGATCTCAGACGGAGGTACCAGTTGGGCTGGTGATGGCCCAGCTATGACTGGAAAAGGTGCAGAATTGTTTGCCAAAAGACAGTCCCGTATGGAGAAGTTCATTGTTGATGCTGAAACAGTGCAAGCAAACAAAATCAGATCCCCCTCCCTGACCTCATCCCTCCCGAACTCTTGGAGGTATTCATCGAATATTCGAGCCCCACCTCCATTATCCTACAATCCCCTTCTTTCTCCTTTCTATGCTGCAGCCAAACAACCCCCTTCCACAAGCCCAAAAGTCAATGTCAAGACCAAAGAGAAATCTAAATCAGCCCCCAAGCAACTCAACTCTTTAGATATAATGAAACATCAGCCTTATCAGTTGAACTCATCACTGTTCAAATATAATGTGGTGCCTGGAACCAAAAGCCCCACCCCCAGCCCCACCCCCAGTCCCAAACCAGCCCCAGTGTCAAAGTTCGAGGTTACCAAAAACCTTAAACTTAGGGTTGCCTCTGCCACTTCTCCTTATAATGCCTCTGAGCTTGCTGTTGAAAGCAAGGCAGAAGTCCCAACTAAGTCACCTGGATCGGTAAGTTCCCAAAGTTCTTCTGCCCAAAACACAAGATTGGCTGAGCCTCTTGCAATTGACAAGCACGTGGATAAAAAGCACACTGCAGCACCTGCAGCCCATCGCTTAACCAAAAAGCCAGCACACAGCGCCAGACCTGCAAGCACATCTTCCCAGCAGCCATCTGCTGCTGACAGCATAGCTTCAGCTTTCTCTCCTGCATCTCTTATTGCTAGAGGCGCACGTCAATTGGCTCCTTGGCCAAAGTTTTCTGCTAAGAAGCCAGTGGTGACAAGCAAACACTGGAAACCTGTAGCCATGCTACATTAATTCTTGTACTGTATATGGTCTTGTTTTGGTATAGTCAACACTGAGACAGTAATTACATAGTTATCTGCAACTTGGCAGCCTCTAATGTGTCTTAACAGGTGGAAATATAGAGTCCTTTGCACTAAACGTAGGCCTCAACTGGAATAATTTGCAGCTATAGAGATCTGTTTAGCTGGCAATGTAAGGAAACAACTTAAGGTACAGTTAAGCTCTTTTAAATCTGTGACAGATAAATTCAACATAAAGTACAACAAATAAACACATTAGCACATAACATAATGTCCCTGACAATTGGAGAAAAAGGGAAAAGCAAAACAAAATAATGTAGATTCTTGTGATGTGCAATAATGTGTGCAGAGAGTCCTGTTCTGCTACAATATCTTATTTTAGGTTTTTTGGGTTTTTTTAAGAAAATAGATCACCTGCAAATTTGCATGCTGAGATAGGAACCCATGAAACCCCAGACAATACAAAACAAACACATAATGTTTATTATCTCTCTCTCTCTCTCTCTCTCTCTCTCTCTCTCTCTCTCTCTCTCTCTCTCTCTCTCTCTCTCTCGCTATATATATATATATATAGATAGATAGATAGATAGATAGATAGATAGATAGATAGATAGATAGATAGATAGATATTTACCCCTATCAAATTAGATTGTTTAATCTTTTATTCAAGTTAATGATAACTGATTTTTACAACTTATACTTATAATACTCATGTGTGTTTGGGGAAACAATTTGCATTTGCTTCAGCCTCATTCCAGACTTTGATGGCATTAGAGCAGCAAAAAGCATTCATTTTGGTTGTGACCTGATGACTAAAATATTCTAAAAATGTCTTTTATGTGGGTATTTTTCAACATGGCCAGTTATTCAACTGTTAGAAATTTCATCAGAAATTCTATATCCTCATCCTTGATGGAAAAAATGAGCAAAATATCATAGAAATTTGAATGTTCTGCTACGGTTTCACGAAAACATCTACTGCAAATCTTTATCCCCTCATCTTTCTGACATGTCAGTGTTTGCACTTCTTGTACTCGGCACTATCATGCTATTAAATTTCTCTTTCCTCCTACTTGTGTACTTCATATGTGTGTTGTGAACAATTTCCCTATTTCCTTTCTCCTTTGTCTTTCTCACTGCCTCACACTTTTGCACATAAGTGGCTCAATCTTGTTGCACTTTTAGCAATTACGACCTAATCTTTCAAACTTAACTGTATTTGTGTGTTACAGCTTTTCGATCTTAATCTCTGAATGTTGAAAGTCTGGAACTATAATCTCAGCCCCCTCAAAAGCAGAATTTGATTTTGCTATTCTAAACATTCATGGACAGCAAGTCATTAGCTTCCGTCATGATAAATAATATATTATCTGTATACAGCAAAGAGGCATTTTTTTCAAATGTATAACTAGAGACAGAGTAGAATTAACTAAAGCTTTGAGCATTTTCAGTGGTTTCATATACCCATAACTTATTATCGCTGATTAAAGATACAGCAATCACAAAACATCTCCTTACCTTTTTAGTGTTCCTGTTTTCTATTGAGAAACTATACACATTAATAAACTTTTTTGCTTATTTCATGTAGAAATAGCATTTGATTGACATCAATCTCTCTCTCTCTCTCAGTCTAGTTACAGCCATAATTATGCAACAAACACCTTTATTATAGTTACCAGTTCAATTAAATTAAATTCAGTTTAGTTTATTCAGAAGTCAGCTTAAAATACAAGTAAAAAAATGTTAACATGCAAAATAGTTATTTATGAAATTGGACTAAATAGTGGCCCAGGCATCAGATGATATGCATGAAAAATATAATAATAATAATAATAATAATAATAATAATAATAATAATAATAATAATAATAATAATAATAATGGATTGCAATAATAATGAATAGCGCTTTTCTAGGCACCCAAAGCGCTTTACAATTCCACTATTCATTCAATTATATACATTTGTCCTCTTGGCCAAGTCTCACTTGGAAAAGAGATTTTAATCTCAATGAGACTTTTACCTGGATAAATAAAAGATCATGAAAAACAAACACAACCTTCTAACATACAATGTCTTATTAATTCAAATATCGTCATATTAATAACACTAATCTAACACACGTAGGCAGTGATAATAGTGTTAGCACATGATAATAGTATTAAAGTATATAAAGTAAGTAGTTTATTAAAGTATGAACTTAAAATATAGTGCTATTGCAGATTTTGAAAGATCTTTGCTATACAGGGTTCAAAATCAAACATATTTTAGTAGCAGCTGTTGTATATAAGTTCTTTTAAATACTGAAAAATATTGATGTTTTAAAGTGCTTCCAAGCTCATCCCAATTCTGTGGACCTCTACAGGTCACATGTAAAATTGCACATTTAAGTTTACATTTCTTTCTCTTAAGAATTGTCTTTTTCCTTGTCCTGTGTGTGTGAGAGGGAAAGTGTATTTGGATAAGCTAACAAACTTGCTAAATACTATAGTATGCAGATTACAGGCAATATGAAAAATGCTACATTCAGTTGACTTCAGGAGTTTGTGACAATGAAAAAGAGAGTTAGAGAGTTATCCAGTCACACAGTTTACAGCATGACTCTGTCTACCTTTAATCTGATGAGAGCTATATAGAAGCTTGTTTCTGCCACTGAAAAAAGCAAAAACAAAATAGTTTTACTTTTTTTTTTCAAAAAAACATTTATAGTCCCAATTACAGGTTATCATCTCAAAATTTTGATTTTATAACTTAAAATTTCAAGTTATTTTCTCAGTTTCAAGTTGTTGGTTTTTTTCCAGAAAAGTTATTAAATTAAAATTTTGACATACTTACGTGTAGCTAAATGTTTTGTTTGTTTTTATTGCATTAAAAACCCTATTAGAGTGCCTTTAGAAATAGACCCATAACATAAATACTTGTTCAAACTAAAAAAAATAATAAAAAAAATAAAATAAGTAATTTAAAAAAATTGTAATTCTTATGCAAATTCTAGAGGCAGAGGAAATAGTTCCAGTAGTTCCAAGTTTTTTCCCCTGTCTTTTCAATGGCATTAACACTGTACTTGTTTCAAGGTGCTTGAACCAGCAGCAGGTAAGTTCGGAAATCTTCTTCATTTAGTCTGAATAATTCCTAAAATTCAGATATATATGACTTTTACACAAGTGAAATTGTCCATTTGCTACTAATATTGATATTAACCATGTCCATTTGTTTTCACTAAAACATTTTAACAGGATTCATAGAAAAAACAAATAAAACCTCAAAATATTCTACAAATCTGAAATTGCTTTGTAATGTGGAATCTGCACTTTTTAAAAGACAATGTAAGGCATATTTAATCAATCAAAAAAAGACGGAAAAACGGGGGGGACCTCAAAACATTAACACTACTTCTGCCCTTGCTCTGTGGAAGTGTAAAAAGGAAAATGTAATAAAATGACCAAAAAATGACATAAAAAAACTATCAAAGAACAGACAGTCAAGATGGATTTGGTAAAGTAATAAAGTATCTTTACGTTAATTTATTTCACAGAGCTAAAGACATAAACATGAACAAGATTTCAAATGCATCAATGTATTCCTTCTTCTGTGTGCAGAGACACAAGTATACCAGCAGAGCAATTATAGCTACACTTACCACAGGTGTGCAACATCAAATACATGCATTGGTTTCTTTAGCTTCTGCAGGCAATATTGAGTAAACCATTTCTGTTGAGGCATCACCCACGAAGTACAAAGTGCTCTCGTGGGCTGTTAAAACACTTTTCTAAGCAAGGACAGATGCAAGAAATAAAAAGTTTAAAAAGACTCAGAACAGAACAGCTAGAGTGAAGCCACAACAATATCAAATATACAACAATGCTTGACAAGAAAGACAGCATTATAGGTCAACTCAAGTCAATCACAAAAACAGGGTTCCTAATTTCGAGCAAAGGTAATGACTTAAGAAATATCAGAGGTCTAAGTCCTTATTTAGACTTTTATACCAGGGTAACTGGTGCAACTCAATCCTACATGCTGTTCTTTATTTGAGGCATTTGATAGTATTCCCACCCCTAGCATCGAAACTAATAGTTTCAATACCTGACACTCTTAGGGCTCAAACATTCACATAATGGTAATGTTTTGTCATAGGACAATTCAAGGATAATCTTTATTCAGTAAGTCTTTTTTTATTTTAGAGAAGAGTAACACACATTTTATTACACTTAAAATATGAATACACTTCAAAAGCATTAGCTCTCCAGGTTTCAGAGAAGCCAGATGGTGGCAGCAGAGTCTGCAATGCTGCTGTCACTCCAGCCAACAAGTTTGTGCTTTTCTTTTAGGGATTTGGTAGAAGTCGTTCGCTGAGCCTGCCTCAGAGACTGAGTTCAATGCCTTCTCCTGGACATCTGTCACCAGTGAGCACACCCGGGGTACTGCCAATACAGAGGCAAACATCATTCCAAGAAAAAGTCCACAAACCACTTACACCATGGGAGGCAGCATCAAGAAGCCCTATTGGCTCTGTGGATGAAGCCTTTTTGTTTCTCCCCTCATCTGCAGCTACTAATGCCAAAGCTGCAAAGCACCGGGGATCTCTGCCAGAGCCTCCAGAAGAATGGAAACGCAGGGTATCTCTTGATCCTGCACCTGTCAGTAAGAGTCATTATCATCATGAGGCCCCAGCTTTTCACATTCTTACCAAGAGCAGGACATTCTCACCTGAGAAACCAGCCTTCTATGGGCCTCCCTTCAGACCTGCCCAGCCTCTTAGGGCCAGTATTGGGCAAATGGCACAAGGCTTCAGTCCAACAAAGTGCTCTCCTGTGTACAGTGCATTTCAGCGAAGTTAATAGATGAAGTCAGATATCAGAGAAAGAGAAATAATAAATGATATTAACATTGTAAGGCACAGATTTTCCTTCAGAGTATAGAAAACATGAAATGCAGAGAATTGTTATTTGTCACTAGGAGATGGAGTACTGTATGTCGAAAAATGAGGGTAAGGCTTTGGCACAGTTTAAGCCATTTGTTATGTTGGTTTTGCATTTATGACGGGATGGATAATTATGTTGATTGCATGAAAAAATCATTTGGTTTAAAGCAAGAACATACTGTGACGATTGTGTGAGATATGAGCTCAGCTTTCATGGGAAATGTTGCTATTGTGCCACCAGAGTGTCATCCAAACAGTATTATATCACTCATCCTATAATAATCAGATTTTTTCTCAGTAGTAATGCAGTGGCGATTACACAAGTAACCATTTCCAATAATCTCATTCACTTTATTGACTTTTGTGTTTTTCAGACATCATATGGTTCCTATTTTATCTTTTGCAATGCATTGCCAGAAAAGTTGTAAGCTTACAATCAGTGTGTGTGCCTTAAGGAAAGTGTTATTTAAAGTGACAAACTGTGTGTTGGCTTATTTGCTTTTATTTTGTTGATCTTTTAATAGGAATGAATCCTGCATGAATAAATGCAAAGTTTCCCACCTTTGATCAGACACTGTGTGGTGTTTAAGTGTTAACAGAAGCAGATGCTGTCCTTGAGTGCCAGAGTTTCCACGTGACGCGTGCAAATTTAAAGTTGGGCTCTTACCGTGTACAATATCACTGTTTTCACTTTTGAAACACAAGAAATAAAACAGATTAAAACACACTTTTAGTGTTGTTATTTGAATTTAATTTGTTTCTCAGAAGTTCCTGATATCAATCTTTTATTGTAAAATTTGACTCTTGAAGAGTAGATATAGTCTTTTTCATTTCTCTGTTTTGCCTTTTTAAATTCAGATTATAGGATAATATCACATGCAGCTGATGCCGGTTTTCCCCCTGAAAAAATGGTATAAATTGCAGGATACATTTTTAAGCTTTTTTTTTAATGGCGGATGTAGCAAATATGATGCAAATTTATATATGGAAAATAAAATGTAATTAATTTTTTTAACAATTTTGTCAGATGGTTCAATAAACGCTCCATTTTTAGATTAGAATTTTCTGGCAATTATTTCATGGTTCAGGCTTTAAAGGGTTAAAATACTGAGTTGACAGGGTTTCAGCCTTATTCCTATTTTAAACTTCACAGACTTTGAAAAAGATTTAACGGTCAGAATATCTTCAGCACTGCAACAGCTTCAACTGCGAGGATAATGACTTTGATATAAAACCCTTCTTGGCAATACTCCATCACCCCTTTAACACCCCTCTCTTATCTGTTTATCATTATCCAGAGTCAGTAATTACACATAACAATAGTAACACAACTCAGTTTGGAGACAGAAGTGCGCACGCAACATTAACAGCTTCCCTAACATGAAGGCATGGTACCTCAGAGGTTATGTCAGCCCACAGAGACATGTCGAATATAAGGCGTCGAGAGACAGGAGAGGCACCAAACAAAATCTCACTGAGTGGGTGTGTGTGCTGTCCATCCTCCCCCCTCTCTCTATGATAGCGATCCTTGCCCCATGGTGTTTGAGATTGGTTTTGAGTGTTTGGCAGGTTAAATTTAGCCTATTGATGTAAGCTGCATTCCAGTCACAACAGACCCAGAGACACACTCACAGTTTGGCTTTAGTGTCCAGGAGTGTGAAGATCAGGGAAGATCAAACTACCTACTGTAGGTTGACCCCTGAGCCTCCGTGTCTCCTCTTCAAGGATACAGGACGACCATCACAGGTATGGACAAGCCTTATCAAGCTTATTTTGTGAATATGTGATGTATTTTTAATTATGCTCTAATAACGTTAACACAGCACTTCTTTTAAAATTTAAAAACAATTAAATTTGACACCATCTAACATTTATGTTTTCTAAATGGCTGCATGTGTGTTTAGGAGTTTATCAGAGCATTGGATATATTTTTGCATTGAGAATCCCATTGATCGTCTTTCTTTTTACTTTTAACATTTTTTTTAATACAGTTCTTCCAAAGTCAACGGCATAGGGCACAGCAGAGTTATTCAACATTTCAGAGTTTCTAAAAAGCATTTTTAGAGCTGTACCATCTTTGATCTCATTCTGAATTTAGCAACAAAGTAAACCTAAAAATACACAAAACACCAGCTACAGAGAAAAATATTTTTGGTCTCATGCTTGAGCAGTTTTATTTGGCTCTGCAGGACAATGATTGTGTCCAGCTACGCATGCAAACTTAGGACACATATTCATCCTTGACCTTTACGCAACATTAAAAGCGATGCCACTAATGTTAGCTCACATACTGAAAAACTGGTGCAGTGACCACCAGAGATTTAAGAATTGCGTGTATGGCACTAATGCATGTACAATGGAGCTTTATAGGTTATGCAATATGCTGCAATCTTTAAATGTGGCACCTTCAGAGTTTATTATAAAATGACATGAGCAGTATACTGTTCAAATCATCGATATGCAAACAGCAAATGGGACACAGACGTTAGAGACTCAAAAACTATACATGTCTCATGTCTGTGAATTTTATTATGTACCAAAACAGGAACAGAACGAACACTGAATGAATATATTTTGAGTTTTATTTAGAGATCTTTAAATACTCTCCATTTCATACATGGCCTTATATTTATAAACTCATCAACCTATGAGCAGAAAATAAAACTTTATGATTCTGGCAGAACAACTACATCCTGTGTCCTGTATGTGTTTCCAGTCCTCCTGAGTTCTTCTCATCTCGCCAAAGCCACAATGTCACAATTCTGTACAATGCCTGCTGGAGAGAGGAAGAAGTGTGCCACAGCTATATGCCGAGAGGTCCAGGGTACCAGCGGTATGATATTAGAGCTGAGGCTCGGCAGACAAAAACACAAGAGAAAATTCGTTGTTATCAGAGTTCAAAATGTCAAGGCTGCTCTCCAGCGACTACCATAAATCAGCTAATGGGATGATTTATACCTATGGTGGCTATGTTTTTGTCATTTCCAAAGGTCTATTTTTGGGTGGGTGTCAGGGAGGGAGGTTGTGAGGGCCAACTGCTGCTTGGGAAACGTGAAGGTCTGTGACAGCTGGGGTACATTCTGTCTGTACACGTGGATAACGGAGCATCACGTACAGCCAAAACTATTGTACAAGTACAAGTACAATGGGGACAATTTGTTTTCCATGGCAGAGCTCACAGAATTGAAATTATACATTTTGTGACTCATATAATGCTATCTTATGAGCTTGCCTAAACCTAGCCAGGCCGATAAACTGACATTACGTTGTGTATATTTATACTTACTGTCCCACATTTTCACCTTTAAAACCAGTGCTGCAATGATCTCCTGGACGGGTTTATGGGAAAACAAGCCAGTGGCCACTGTTAATCCCATCCATTCCTACTTTAGTACACAAATGTCTGCAGGAATATGCATCTAACATAGATACAAACTAATATTGTTATTTATGTACTCATGAATGTAGTTTTTATTGTGGCATTGACATAAACCAGGAACCTTTGCCTGCACTCTCTCATTTATAGCAAAACATCAGTTATCAGTGAAAATTAAAATTCAAAGTTAAAACTTAAAGTACATACAGTAAAATACTGGAATATCAAAAAAAATATTGCCTCATCACTATTATGCAAAATGTAATGAATACATTAAACTACATAACAGACTGCTTTTTCCCCATCTTTTCAACTTTGTTGTTGGGCAGGTTACGTTATGGACCTTGGAAAGAAGCTCAGCACTCCTAAAGACATAATGTTGGAGGAGTTATCTCTGCTTTCCAACAGAGGTTCTCGGCTTTTCAAAATGCGCCAGAGAAGATCTGACAAATACACGTTTGAAAGTATTCAAAACGAAGCAAATGCGCTGCTCAGTGTAAGTCGACTTGTTTGTTTTACTTACTTTTTATTCATTATCTCTCTCTGAAGTTCCAGGATTTGGTTTAAAGAAAATCTGTAAAGGTGCCTGCACACATTTATCAGGATATTTGCTCTTAACAAAGAGTGTGGTAAGACATGGATGATAACAGAGACATGTGCCTCGTGCCTTTTACATCCTGCGGGCAAGTCTTCTGAGAGGCTGCTCAGGCACTTTGCTGTTAATGTGCGTGACACAAAAAGCAGCAATAGATGTTAGCAGTTCAACATGTAGCTACACAACTGATATTTTAACCCAATGATGCACTTTATTCTGTTTTGCAGAATGATATTTTGAACATGAATACACACTCTGTGGAAATAAAAGTGGAGCCGCCAGCCAATGGAAACATTGCTAATGCTGAAAAAAAAGATTCAGGTAATTATGCAGCTTAGTAAGTCAGGCTGTTCTTGTTTTATCCAACAGTGAATTAAATGAGGATCTAAATATGGTAATGCAAAAATAAATAAATAAATAAAACAATCATAATCAAAGATGTAGTTTTAAGATGGATTACTCTGTTTTACATTTGCTCCTCTGTACATGAGTCTGAAATTCAGCCGATAAGACTGCACAGTCAAATAAAAGCTACTGATTATGTAATGATGTCATAATAATAACAACTGCTATCATAGATTCATAACAGCTGGTCTTATCTTATGGCAACCGATTTCCAGAACAGGACAACAGCTTTATGGGCAGCTTTAAAAGCGTTATTTAATTGTATTATTTTGACAGCAGAGTCCTGTGCCTCTTCTAAAAACCCTTGAGCACAATATCATCTCACGTCGACACATTACATGATGAGCACACGCTTCAACTATGTGCTATTTTTAAGGCCTCAGATCATATTGATGGACAACTCAGTGTGCCTGTGTTAAGTGTTGTCTAAGCGCAGTATCTATTCATAAGCCTGTCCACTCTAAAACATAATGGCTCAAGAAAACAGCTCAGAGTTAACACGTAAAAGCAAAGCAGGCTGACGGATCATTCTGTTCAAACAATAACCCAGATTATGATCGCCCTTGACTGATTCTGGTTTCCTCCTTCACAGTAACGACTACTGAGAAGTTAAATCCCACAGCTACACACAAGTCATATCACTCCCCATGGGAGGAGGCCCTGCTCCGTGACCCTGACCTCGCTGAAACTCTCAAACTAAAAATGCCAGCAGCAGACCCACGGTCAGAGCTTCCTGAATACAAATGCTTCAACCGGTGAGAAAACTACGAGTCTGTTTTAATGAATTAGAGCTGAGCACAACAAAGACTGACAGTCATAAACTGATCTTAATTACAGGGTTGCCACTCCATTTGGTGGATTTGAGAAAGTTTCCAGAGGAATCACATTTAAACTACCTGAAGTGGACCTGAACCCCCCCAGATACCCAGAGCTCCAGGATGCGGGGTTGAAGAGACCCACCTTCAACAGGACAGCCCAAGGATGGATATCTGAGGGCACCCATCTGATTATACCCACTATTACCCTGGAGCCCATCTCAGTGCCAGAGTCTGATGACCTGTAGATGATTTTATGCAAAATGATGCCAGCTTGGTGCTGCCTGTGACAAGAAAACAGCCAATTAGTAACACTAATTTTTTTTTAAGAGATTTTAATGGACAGAGAGGGTTTCATGTGTTTGACACCCTTTAAACTAGAATGTTTACTGCCTTTGAAGACATGTGTCAAAGAAAACAATGTAAATAGTAAATGGAATGTACCCCTATGTGTTCTGGAGTCTCTAGAGATACTGAAGTATATCTGCAAATTACAAAGATTGTGAAAAATGAATGAAGTGATGAAT